CCCCCCCCCCCCCCGAAGGCGCCCGCGGCAGAGACTGAACGTCCGGCCCGCGCCGCACCCGGGGGGCATACCCTAGACGCGCCAAGATTCGGGGAATCGGTACTTCCAGCAACAACCCGAGGGCAGAGCCCTCCTCCTCCCCGATATCAAGGCGCGTCCCGCCATAACCCACAAGGGGGTCCACCGCGATGTTGTTGCGGCCGTTGCTGCTGCCGTCGCTCCCCCTACGGCTGCCCCCTTTGCCGCTCTTGTTGTTGCGGCCGGGCGGCAGCTCGCCCTCCCTGCTTGGGCCGGGACTACTGTTGGCGCAGTTCGCGTCCCGGCCCCAGTGGCTGCTGTTGCTTGCCCTTAGTACCACCCCACACGTCAGGGAGGGAGACGGTCTTCCCCCCCGAGAGGAGGCCTGATGGCCAGAGGGACTTTACCGTCCCTCCGGTCCCTGTCGACCTCCTCCCTGAGCCACCTCCCTCTTTCCTCCTCGTCACTCTCACGGTGAGGAGGGACGGGTCGGGTTGTGGCTCCCGCCATCCATCTCCACCTCCATGGGTTGGTCTCCCCCCAGGGAGGGGAGCCAGAGAGGGGGATTACCTCGCCCCTCCTCTTGCGCCTATGGGCGACCGTCTCCTCAAAGGAGGAGCCAGATATCGCCGCCCTCGTCGACCTCTTGCGGCCGGTGGGCACAGTACAGGAAGCGCAGCTGCCCCCCTGCTTAGGCATGGGGACTCCATAAAACCCCCCAGCCTCCTCCAGCTTCGCTATTCTGGCCCTGAAGAGGCGGTTCTGCGAGCTGAGCTCGTCAAGCTCCCGCCTCAACAGGGCCTCGCTCTCCCTCGCCGCGAAGCCGGGCACGGCCCCCGGCTGTCCGGCAACATTTTGGGCCCTTACGGCAGGTGTGGTTCCACAGGCCGAGAGTTTCTTGGCCGCCCTCCACAACTCGCCCAGGAGGGAGCCCTTAATATTGCCGGACTTCTGGGCCACCTTCATTACGGTGTCCACCGACTAGTACAGTCTGGTGGACACCTCTACTGTTTCCAGGGCCCTATGGTCGCGGACCATCCACTCCGCGGTCCTTTGAGCCCTGTCTACTCTAGGGCCGTAAGGCCTCCTGTCTTCATCGGCAACGTACTCCGCCACCTTGGCCAGCTTTCTGTCCTGGATGGCCACCTTTTTTAAGGCCATCTGGTCGGCCGTGAATTTCCCCTCGTGAGAGGGGTCTTTGCACGGCCGACCCTGCTTTCTCACTCCCGATGTCTCGGGAACGAAATTGGGGGCTGTCGGGTCCTCAGCCATTGAGGCAGACCCACCGGCTGCAGTCTCCGAAGAGGCCGATGTCCCCACCCCCTCCTCCTTCATCGTGATTACCGGCGGCCCTTCCACAGCCGCCGCCCACTCTAGCGAGGACGCTCGGATGTCTACCGAGTCGTCCCTTCCCCTCTTTAATTGTCCCGGAGACGGGTCCCTCGGCAGACTCTTCCGGCCTCGCGAGCTGCCTCGCCAGGCCGATCGGGTCCTCTCCGGACTGGCAGCAGCTCGAGCCTGATCCTCGGCTCGGACCTGGCCGCCAGACCGGGTGCGTGACCTTGTGCGGCGCGCCGGTCCGTCCATGTTAGGGAGCGGACCAGGGGAAAACTCGGAAAACTAGTCCCTGGATGTCTCCCCCTCCTCGGCGTGGACCGCTGTGTGGGTCCCAGCAGGGCTGGTGGACGGCTCTGCTCCGTGCGTTGGTCGCACGGTCGCCGGCGACGCAATTGCGTCCTCCTCCTTACTTTTCCTCTCTTTATCCTCGGTTTTTTTTAGGTGACTGCATACTTAGATTGCCCGCCCTTTGTCACCCGTAAGCTTACAGGGCGGGCCATGAAAAGTGGAAAAGTTACAAACCCCCCAGGCGGAGCCCCACGCCTGGGTTCGGGCTGAATATACCCGGGGTGCGCCAGGTACCCCGGGGTGGACCGCTCATGACCGACTAAACCGTCGGCCACTCATCCCATCGCCGCGGCTCCCAAACTTAGAATTGGGGGGATTTTTTATAGAGGTCCCCGTCCTCGCGGCCCAGACGTTTAAGCCAAGGCCCTCGCTCCCCCGGAGGTGCGTCATAGACATGACATAACGATTTTCAGGGGTATACGATGTCCGATGTTGTCGAACCTGCGCTGTAAGGGTCCTGGCAAATACCACGCAGACCCCTAGTGCTCCCCGTGCGCAGCTGCCCGTACGAGGGGGCCCTCACGGCCGGCCACGTCGCAATATGCGATCGTGACCAGGAGGAGTCGCAGGGTTGCCGGGGTGCGGCACCTCACCACTGAATGTGGGAAGGGCGAATGTACCAGTCCCTGCGACTCCACCTTCCGCCCTGCCGGCCCGGAGTTGACCTCCGGGTAACTCCGACGGGATGGCCATCCCAGGGTGCGCGGCCCCGACCTCGGAATATGTCCGAGCGGCCCGCGCACCCCTCCGCCTCCCGGGATGTCGGAAGCTACCGACGCGCAATCCCGGGTGTGGATTCCTCTCCCCACCGAGGCCCGAGTAGGGACGGATCGAGGGTGTCCCACACTTTCAGCTGCCAGACCGGCGTGCAATGCCTACTCATGTGGGACCTTCTCCTCCCCCGAGGCGGGAAACTACCCGTCTCGGAGCGGAGGTCCCCCCAACCCCGCCCCAAGACTGGTGGTGGAACAAGACCAACCTAACGGCTCCAGCCAGCCGGGCGATTGGAGTCAGGGCAGTCTACCCCTACCGGCGATTGGGCCCATCGGCCCAGTGGAAGTCGCCGGGCTCCCCTGCAGTGGAGGATCTTACGACCCCTTCTCGCAACCGCGAGGCTGCAGCCCACCATCCGGTTTTCTGTGGGGGTTTTCCTTCCCCGTTGCCGCCGTTCGCCAGCGATCCTCAGGTAGGGGCCTCCCTTCCTTTTTTTTTTGAGCCAGGGGAAATGCTTTACGCATACCCGCAATCTCCGGGGGGAGACCGCGGGTTATGTGGGGCTCCTTCCCCGCCGAGTATCGGCGGGGGCCCTATCCACTAAAACCCCTGGCGGGTCCGTCCTCAATGGTCATCAGGGGGCCCGCGGGGACCACTTGCGTATAACTTCCGCGGACCCCCCTCCGCGGTCCTGAGGACCCCTCCCGGACCGGGGGTAATAATCACCCCCGATCGCGCTCCTCCTGAGCAGCGGCGCGGTGCGACCCAACACCGCGCCGCCTCCCTCCCGGGCCGCTATGATTGGAGGGTGCGCCCCTGCACACCCCCCAAGCGACCCGTAGGGGAGAGGGGGGACCGGTGGAGGCGGATTCCGCCCGGCACCGACCCCCCTCGACGCCGGCCTGATGTTTGGCCAGCGCCGTGGCCCCGGTCTAGATGGTCAGACCGGGGCCCTCTCCGCCGGCAGGGTCCCGGGGCGACTCCCCGGGATCCGCCGGCACGCCTCCCGTAGGGGAGCGGGCTGAGCCGGCCGCGTTAGGCGGTCGACCCCTGCGATGCCCCGGCGGCCTACCGCCCGCCGGAGCACCGCCCCTCATTGGGCACTCGGGACCACCCACACGGTGGCCCGAGTCCCTGCCATCCTCCGAGCACACCGCGCAGGTCGCGCTTCCTGCGCAGTCCCGCGCGATGTGCCCCGCCCGACCACACCGGTAACAGAGCCCACTCCGGTCAATTGACGCGGAGCAGGCTGCCCGGATGCGGCCGCGCCTCCAGCACTTGTGGCACTGGAGCGGGCGAGCCGCGAGCATTTCCACCCGCGCACCCGCCCACCCCAACGCCACCCTTCTCTCCCTGGCCACCATCACGGCAGACTCTAGGGGAAGACGGGCCAAAGCTGTCCCGACCCCCCCCAGCCGCGCCGGATGGGGCCCACTCGGACCTCTGTAGGCCCGCAATTACTGCAGGCCGCGAGAGCTCCTGTAATCTCCTCGGGGAGGACCGACTCGTCAATACCAAAGAGCCGGACCTCCCCATGCCTTCTTGGTCTCGTGACCGAGGCACCGGGG